GTCGAACTGCACTCGACTCAATAAACTTTTGATTTTTACTTTTGTTTTTATTGTTTATCATTATAATCTTATAATATTACTTATGTTCGATTCGTTTCAATTGCAGGTTCTAGACTCAGACAGGATGGAATGGTTGTGGCGGACTGTGGTTCAACTGTAACTACAACACACAGTGCTTAGAGCTTTACAACATATGGAAAGAAATAGAAATAGTTTATTAAAATTGAAGTAAGTCAAAATTTGATGATACAAGTGTGTTTAACCTTCCAATCGTTTCTTAACTAATCGAACAACTTTTCGACATTTTTCTGCTCCACTCTCTGCTTGACGAGCTTCCTGAATTGTGATTCTGGCTGGGACCAATCTGAATGGATAGGCAGGCGCTATGAATTGGCAGGTGTAGTTCATCAAGTTATCACAAGAGATTCGTTCTTGTACAAGTCCAGCGCGACATTCATCTTCTTCACTAAAATTTTTCCAGGTAAAACATTTCAGAGAATAAACAAACCTCTTCGACAGGGAAATTTTTGTCAAAAGTCCATCAACTTTCTCCCAGTGGCCAGCTGATGATTTCTTTTCACACTCGTTAATTCTTTGTTGAACAAGTTCAGCCAGATCGGCATCCTAATATGGTTAGTCAAAGTTGTATTTCAAGCCAAGATTTCAAACCTTTCCTCCGTTTCTGAGATAAACAGGGAACTTGTTTTTAAACTTCTCGGCAATGTTGTTCAGATCAGCTCGACAGCCTTGAGAAACGAGGAGTTATGAATATACAGCTTATGAATGTATAACTTGTTAAATCTGTTTGTTCCTTGAACCAGATTGATGCTCGGCTGGGAGTGATTGCGGTTCCATAATCCACATTCTCGATAGGCTTGACAAGTTTCTGGACGGCTCCGGCTGGTTGGACTACAGTAGGGTTCTGAGATTACACACATTTCAGGATATCTTTTGAGCTCACGGTACCTCAGAGAATTGTGGTGGTGATACAGCTAACTGCTGGTTGATTGCAGGATTGAGATTCAATTGTGTTGGAGCTCCAAACTGAACAGGAATCTGAGATTCAAAATATAGTCACTGTAAAAGATGGATTACCTGAGCGAATGGTGGTTGTTGCACTGAAGGCGCTGGTAGTGGGGTAACAGCAGGAGCAGTAGGTGGATTAGTAATGAAAGTTTGTTGCAGTTGTCCTTGAGGTTGTTGGAAGAGCTGTGGTTGAGTTTGTGGAATCGTTTGAGACTTTAAAGAATGAGTTATCAGAAAATACAACATCTGATGACTTACTTGGAAACTGGTAGGACGCTGTTGGAAGTTCTGTTGTTGTGGAGCAACTGGTTGCTGACCGAATATTTGAACATTCTGTTGTCCAAAGGTAGGAATTTGAGCAGGTTGAGCGGGTTGAGCGGGTTGTCCGAATTGGTTCTGGAGTTGCTGTTGTTGCTGTTGATACTGTTGTTGGTATTGTTGGTATTGTTGATTATATTGTTGATAGAATTGATTATTGTTAGGCTGTTGACCAAAAGTAGGTGGAAGAGTGCTTGGTCCTTGGCTTTGCACGAGAACCAATGGAGCTACTGTTGTTGGAGCTGCTGGTTGGGAGGTTGCTGTCGTTGGTTGGTTGTTCTGATGCTTGTTCTTTCTGTTTCCAGGACCTTTAGTAGTTGGCTTGATAGCTGTTGGAATATCCATTGGTTGATCATAATCATCAGCTGTAGGTACTGGAGCGTTCACTGGAGGTGCGGGTAGTGCTGAGCCTTGGTGAGCTGGTGCAGCAAATCCTGGTAAAGTTAACGCTGGGAAGCCGGGAAGCTGGAATTGTGGGAAACCAGGGAACAATGGAGCTGGAGTTGGAGCTACTGCAACTTGTGCAGGTTGAGGTTGAGCTACTTGAGGCAATGCAGGCTGAGGAGCTACTACAGCAGGTTGACGGTCAACCTGGAAATGTTCAAAGATTCATCAAGATTATTAAAGAAATGTGAAACTTCATTTATAGTTTTCTTGATTTTCACTGGCTTCAGCTCATTTTTAACGTGGTGATTGGGAACACCTTCTATCTGGGCCAGAACTGATGGATCTTCAACCGGCAGGTCAACTGGAATGTCAAAGCGCGTGTTCTGAAAAGTAAAAGATTAAACGATCCACTGATTTCTCCCTATGAATGCGCTTTTATAGGGAACGTGAGAGACATATTGTGAAGAGAAAACGATTTTATTGAATTGGATGAAAGGGAGAGTGAGGAGATCACATTTCTCAGGTTGTTGTGAATCCTGACTGTATTTGGGATAAAGCTTCAAAACGTTCAAAATAACGGGTAAGAGGAATTATTTCCAGAATCCTTAATCTCTTACAAGAAAATACCATTTAGAGAAGATTTTGAAACAAAATTGGGAAAGGATAACAGAACTTGAATTTGTGGAGGTAGTAACACTCACCTGGAAAGAGTTTTGAGCTGTTGCTGCAGTTGCCAGCACAGCCAGTAACAAAAAAATCTTCATGATTGTTCAGAAGATTCGCGAGGGCTATATCCTTAATTGGAAATTGAGGCCTCAGGGACTGTCTAGGAAGGGTTGGTGGTTTCTAGGAAGATGACGACGCTCGGATGGATTGAAGGCGGGATGGATGACCCGAAGTGGTGGATCGCCGTCCGAATCTCTCTTGCGTTTAATCGTTCTTTCCCGATAGTTCTGATTTTCTTATAAATTTTCTCTCTCACATCTTCTCTCTTTCTCTTTCTCTTTCTGTTTTTCTCTTCGTCTCTCTCTTCGTTTCTCATTATTTTCTTTTTTCTTTCTCAAACTGACTTTCTCTCTATTCTGTACGGACCGGTCATTGAAATGAGTATATATAGTGTTGACGCTGAGACATCGCTTTGCCCAAATGCGATTTTCTGGGTTTTCGGTAACGTTCATGCTTTCGCAAAGCCAGAGTATGTCTCACAGGTCTAGGCCAATCTCCTTTTTTGAAACAATTATGAATGTGTAAGGTAATGTTCAATTCGAACTTCCTTCTAATCCATTTTATGATACGGCGACGTTCAGTGAGAAGGATAGGCTTCATTCGAAATTGAATGCATTTCAACCTAGCTACGAACATCAAACACGGCGACCCAAACGAGTGTCTCGAACATGTTTCACTTCTCTTCGAAGAAGATAGTTGATCAAGATATTGAATTTGTTTCAGATCGCTTCACAGGCGATATAACAGAAGAAGATTAAAAAACAATCACATAACAATAGAACAACAGAACACTTCAATATCATATGATCACAATCATTAATCTTTCTATCTATCCAAGGTGCATTCGTCGATTCATTTCATCGACTTCCTTCTCAGACTCTCGATTATACGCGATTCATTCAGCAATTTTTTCTGAAGTGACTTCAATTTACTCATGGTACAGTGAGAGAATGTTCATTCATATCTTCTCCACGTACTATCGCATCCATCGCTCATCGAATCCCACCATGAGAATTTTTAAAATAATAGGTAGTCAAACTAGCATCTTGACCAACCTTTGAAGAATTGTGATGTAACGACGAGTTAGCAGTGGAGCGAATGGAGAAGACTAATATTATTATTTATAAATCTATACATGTTGTTTGGTTATACCAGAATCGTTTGAGTTTGTTAATGAGGAAGGAACGACCCAATGAACACAACAGGCTCTAGCATCAAATGACAAAATGGCTTGTCAGAGTACAAAAATACTGATCTAGGACCGCCAGTGGTACCTCTCGACTCGAAGCCAACACGCCACATATGATGCAATAGACGCTTGATTGATACCAAAATCCATTTTGACAGTTCGATTACCCGTCATGGATGTTTTCAATCTTTTGAAGAAATACCCGAATCCAATTGAATTCTCACAAAGAGTGAACCACGACTTCCTTCACCTGTTCGCACAGCAAACAGTTTATTATTAACTTTGTACTTTGGACCAGACAACGGCTCACTCATAGTAGTCAAATCATTCTCGAAAGAGATGAGTATGTGGTGCGGAAAAGAGTGTAAAGATGACTATGGCAGGAAGCTGAAGGAGAGATCTGCATAGAGTTTCCAGCAATGAAAAGAGTTGGAGAACTCTACATGGTAAGATCTTCATGCCATGGTTTTCCAATATGACAGGATGATTGGGGATAAGACACAGTACAGTAGACAACGGTCGTGGCAGGAGCCTAGACTGACTTACGGTCACCGCAAGTGATTTCTTTTTGCCACTGTTGTGGTGACAAATGGTTTTTTTTAGAGTTATAGGTTTTTTTTCTTTGAGTTGTCATAATTATTTCTTCCACGACTCTGTTTCGTCCTTGCGAAAGCATGAAAGTGGCGTTTATGGTCGTTCCCTTCGACGTAACTTAGTATTTGAAAGGATATACTTGATCATTCATCTTCATTACATAACATCGGTGAGCTTCTTCCACACCTACTATCCCGAACAGAATGACCTTTCAATTCTAATCAAAGTTCGAGAAAAACAAACTGAATGAGATCATAAATGATAAAAATCTTCGTTTTCTTGTGAAACCCGTGAAATCATTCTGCAATCTGAGATCTATCCGTTCATAAATTAGAAAATCTTGTTAAGAGCTTAAAGCTTCAGTAATTTCTGTTCCGAAGTCAGATATACATCAGAATACAGCTTCTGGATGGAGTGTACGTCATGAGGAGAGAGGATCAAACCATTCTTCAAATCTCTGAACACGTGTGAGGATAACGGAGATGAAGTAGAAGTACAAACCTGTAATATGGATTCATAATGGCTGATGATACTCTGGTATGTCGTAATCCAAGAAGGTGTCCAGTTTCGTGTAATATTACCTGAAAAGTGATTTCTTACTCATGGAGAGACGATCATCCGCTCTTGGCTGATCATCAAAGATGCGGAGAGAATTCATTTTTTGTTTTAAGATTATGAAAGGATTAGGAATCTCACATATCGAAGGTCAATCCCATTTATTCCATCAAAAGACCATTGTTCATCGGCATCCAAATGGAGATATCCCCTGGGGGGCAAACCTGAATGAGCCACAATCCCACCTGGTCCATCTAGAGCCTAACAAACATGTTCCAGATAAACATATAGTATAGATAGAAGTACTCACTTCTACATCACCATGTTCTCCTCGAGCAAAGTAGATATCGATGTCCGTGAGGTTATTTGTGAAATCTTCATTAATTTTGAGTTTTGAATCTAAAGCCATTTCCCACATAGAGAATGTTGTTGCGATTAGCGATCTTCAAAGAATGATCTGATTAGCTTCTCATAATGAACCAACCGAATTAATGAAAATGTTTCTTCTGACTTTATAATACCATTTGGATCACGGAATTTCCATGTTATTTCGCGTTTTCGCCAAATACGTCGTCGACGTCGAGTGGATGATGAACAGCTGACATAGCTATGAAGAGAAAGAATAATTCTGTCGATCTCATTGTTTCAATCATGTTCTTCCAAATAAGGATAAGCTAGTGTAGTGTTATGAGATAGACTACTTTCTCACATTTCAACAGTTTGTATAGATGATTAATCAATCACAACATGGAACATGACATTTCCGGCTACGAAAGAAAAACTTTTGTCTCCGATAATGATCTGGGTCATTAAGAAAGAAAAAAATGCTTTCGGAGCTTTGAGTAGTGAATTGAGTGAATACATATATCAGGAGATAGAGAGAGTGATGGATTTACCTGAGAAGCAACAGACTCAATAGTAGCAGAGCATGGCATCTCATGATGCAAACGCTGAATCAAACAACTAATACGAACCAATCAGATGTGTCTAGCAGTCGTCCAGCATGAAACTGTCACAACATAATGTAAAGAAGTCAAAAATCAAAATAAAGAAAACATTCAAAAGCTAATTTTCAGCTTTGAAATCAAAACGTTCCGAACGACAACTGAGGAGATGAGAGGAGATGAAGTAGCCGCGAGGCGATTGCAATGAACTGCTGCTTGTGAATGAAATAAAAGGGAAAAAGACAAACCTGCTTCTTCTTATTTCATTTTGAAAGACTCTCATCCTGCTATTCTATTTTCCCCATTTTCTCTTCTTATCCTCCAAGCTTTAAAGTCAAATCTTTTCGTAAATCAGAAGCTTTCACCAATATCCAAAAACATTCAGAAACATTTCGAAAGCAATTGTAGACAGTAAAGACTGAGAAAAGAACAATCTGTGTGAGTAGTAGTCTTGCACTAACTGAGCACATTCATTTGTATATAGTTTGATCTCATTCATGTACAGTTTGATGTTAAAGAAAAACTGTCTTCGCTGAACGCTCACTCATCTTCTTAGTGTGCTTCTATGTGACGAATAGGAAACCTCTATCTGAAATTGAAAAGATTAAAAAAAAATTTTGTTTGTTCGAAGTTCAACCGTTATATGGACGCGAAAGATCAAAATGAAAAAGAGTGATACTTTTTGATATACGTGGACTGTACGTGATCTCATAGCAGATTGGGCGGCAATATGGAGTACGGAATAGAGTCTCTAGTACAACGAATGGCGTTAGACATGCTATTGGTCCTACTTTCATGAGCTCTAGAAAATTTAAATCTCAAACGTTTCTTGTATAAGCTTCCCAAGATTTAACGAAAAAAATTAATTTCAGAGTTGAAAGATAAGATATAATTGATTAAAAAGTGTTATCTTCTAGAGAAGTTAAGAAAGTTTTAATAAAGAACAGTAATGAGCAATCATCGAAAGAGTGAAATCTATGTAACTGTAATTGATTACAAAGAGATTTGTACAGAGAGAAAGATAGAGAGAGAGAGAATATGATAAAGAGAATTCTCTTGTGACCATAGCATTGAAAGTGGTCGAAGGGGTTGCTGTATTTTTTCGTTTCAGATAAGACATAGCCAGTGTATCTCACGTGTAAAGGTAATACAGATTGTAACTTTACCTCTTTGTCCCTCTCTCATTCATTTTCTTTGATTTTATTTTTCTCACTCTCTCTCTCTTCCTCACTCCACAAGCTGGATAGATGAGAAAGAAGAAAGGATTTGCTGTCTTCCAATCTTTGGCAAAAAAAATATTTGTAGATAGGCATAAAGGAGCGATTTGATTCAGTTTTCGATTAACTTGCAAATCGTATGCAACGACGAGATTTGGACGTTTCTATTCGATTGCTGTTCATCAGCAGTCTGTTAGTTAGTTTGAGGTATGTGCATGGAGCTTCTTCTTTCATCCTTCCTTCTATGGGATGAAAGAAAAGAAATGTTGTAAAGAGTAAATCAGCTGGTGAATGATTGACGTTCATCCGGAATAATTTATCTTTTGCACTTATCAATTGACTGAAATAGTCTTGAATGAATTGACGAAATAATTTTTTTTATTTTCCTTTTCCGGAGATTTTGGTGCCGGTTTGACTAGTCTGCCTTGAGCAGCAGATGATAACAACGTATTATCAGAATTGAAATTGGTTAATATGAAACTTATGATTTCATTTTCATTCTTCAGTGTACCTTCTACATTACAGTTTATGCTCATATTCTGATTCGCTCGAAGATAATTTGAAAGAAGCGTTATACAAGAAGTGTTGGAAGGAATGTTTGGATCATCATCAAGTTAGTCCATCACATGAAGCTGTACTTGCTCTAATCAATCGGAAGTTCAGTTTGGAGAAGCATGAGAAGCATTGCCGGTAAGTCCAAGTAGTCCTTTTTCCAGCTTGGAATACGGAACATATCTTATCCATAAGTGTATTGAGACTGAGATCTGAAATGTATTGCAGGTCGTACAATGAATCCAAGAAATGTGCTCATAGTTGCCTTTCATCTCCCAATCACGAATACTATCTTCGACCTTTTGTACGTCAAAACTACTTAAATGATTTCATTTGCGCTCGTCATTATGATGGTTTATCCTTTGCATTAAGCTTCGCAATAACTTCATTCATTTCTTATTTAGACTTTAGAAAATATCTTCCCTGTTATCAAGGACATACATCACTCGAACAATACTTCATCAGATGCGGATACTTTGCCATTGAATCAGATGACTCATCTGTTCTTCAAGCAAATCCTCAGACATGCGCGTATGTCCTATAACAAGCTTACAACCACCAACTTCCTTCTTCATGCTATTTCAGTGCTCTCCGATGTGTGACCCGTTACATTCCTGGTCTAATTCGTCAACAGTGTACTTCATTAGAAAATGCAAAAATGGCACATGAAGCTGGTGATCTGATGGAACGCATGGTTACAGCCTTCTTACGAGAGAAACTACATTTGAATCGAATGAAACGCCAATGTGAAGATTCGGATATCATTAAGAGAAGTTGAATAAAAGCATCACATAACATAACAGCAAAGTTGATGTTGTTTTCTCATTTGATTGTATGGATGCGTCGTATTCAATGCCACCGAACCCCCTTCCTACCTCCCTCACTTGCCTTCCTCCATCCTCCACTCATTTCTCTTTTTATTAGAAAAAGGACGGAAGTAGAATGAATACCTTAAAGTAAACATTTCACCTCTTATTCTCTCTCTCTCCCTCACTCCCTCTCTCTCTCTATCTCTTCTTCTTCTCTCTCTCTCTCTCTATTAAGCTGAGAATTTTACAAAAAATTTTGTTCAATCGATTTTTAAAGTAAAGAAAAGCAGAATTTCTTTTATTTTAAAGAAAAAAAAGTTTTTTTTATTGACATTAGGTGTTTATTCAAGTTTGACAACGAAGAGGAAAAGAAATGTCTTTAATCGACAGATTGTGGGATGTAATCAGCTGAAGATGTTCAATCTCTCTTCCTGGTCTTCAGATTTCACACTCAACTATCTCATGCCATACACAGCAACCTCATTGAATATGTAGGATTGAGCGGGATCAATGAGATTATGAATCAACGAATTACCGATAGAGCGAGAGAGAGATAGTGATGAGAGAGCCTTTAAGGGTTCATGTCCTCAAAGTGCATGTCAGTTGTTATGGTCACGTGACTTATGATCGAAAGTGCATGTGTAGAAGGATCTCGAAAGCATCTTCAGGCATACGGTACATCTCTCTTATATGATGTTGTAGTACAGTAAGTTTGATTGGACATATGTGCGGAAAATCAAAATTTATTATGACACCATTAGAATATATCCATATATATGATTAAGTATGAAAAAAACAAAAAAAAAGAAGAAAAAGAAAGTGAAATGAGAGGTTAAGGGGCCCGCAGGGATCATCATTGCTCTTCTGTTTCACAACGAAACAAACAAAAATGGAAAACGTCTTATACTATATCTGTATGTATGTGTATGTATGTGTATGTGTGTATGTGCCTGTGGTTGTGTAGAGAGAGAGAGGGAGGATTACAAGTGAAAGTGTAAGAGAAATGAAAAATATATTTTATTTTATTCTGATAACGTTACATCCCTGACATGCTCATATTTTAATTTTTTTATTTTTTATCTTCGTTGCGTGCTACGGTGCCCAGCCGTAACCCATAAGCACATGTTAAGACAATTATTATGGAATCGACAATTTTGCACATAAAATGAATTGCTGGAGGCTAACACAATGAGACATAGAGAGAGAGAGAGAGATAGAGGGAGAAGTGGGAGTACAGAGAGAGAGAGAGAGAGAGAGAGAGAAAGTGAAAGGGTTAGAGCTCTTCTAATCATAACCATCAGTTTATATTTTAATTATATGATGATTTATCGTCAGTACGATCAACTATGAATAAAACGATTTATAAAATCACAAAGAATCGAATCTCCAGCTATGGGTGGGGGGTCGTATCGAATACGTTTTTGAACTGCTCAAGTTGTGTGCAGCGTCCAATGAACGTTTGTTGGCATTTAAGGGGAGAAAAATATATTATAAAGTATGTATATTTATATATATATATAGATATATTTATATGTATGTATATAAGTTCTTTAGAATTCACTTTTTTCAAAAAATGAAGAAAACGTGCAATTTTTCACTTTTTTCTTCATTTTTCACTGATTAACGGGGGTGTGGTATAAGGGTGGGATGATGGAGAAAGAGAGAGAGGGAGCGAGAAGAGAAAGGGATGAAGGGGAGTGTATAGAGAGATGAAGCATAAGAAGTGGAAATTTGTGCATCACAGTTTGGACGGGATGGACTTCGAACATCAGACCGACTAGATGGTCTTTGCCTCTCCGCTAATTTATAAAAAAAAATAATTATTTAAATATTTCTCTATGGAATATTCTATCACTTCTGCTTCTACGAAAAACAACAGTCAAAGACACCTTGAACATCAATTATTTGCTTTTTCATCGTTCTTTTTATGAGTCGGAACCCGTGTTCTACAGAGAGAGAGAGAAGGAGGGATGGGTTTGAAGAGAGAGAGAGAGAGAGAGAAAGGAAGGGAAAGGAGATTTGGAGGATGAGGAAACACTATTATTATGCCTAAGATGAATCCTTGCTTCTTCATTCATGTGTTGTTGCCACGAAGACAGAGATGTAAGCAGAGCAACAGATGGAGCTTTTGTAAAATCAGAATTATAACGGTACCTAGGAAGGAGAGGGCATAACCATCACATCATTTTACTAGCTCAACGACGACAAGGATTGTTCTGGTTGATTTTAAACGATGAAGTTGTTTGAATGAAAAGTAAAAGGAGAAGATGTACGAAAATGAAATGAAACAAACAAAATGATGAAGAAGAAGAGAATTATTGAAGGTTTGGGTGAAGTTTAAAGTGGCTGCAACACAACTGCATTTTTCATTTCTGGAGCATAGCTGGGAGGAATGAATGGATCACCATTGTGCATATGAATTTCTTCAAATGAATATGGCTTTATATCATAAAAATCTAATGAAGTAGGAGATGAATGACCATAACTGGGCATCATATAAGTTATTTGATTACTAGGTGGTGGTGGAGGCATTGAGGATGAAGATGAAACAACTTGCACTTGTTGTTGTTGCTGTTGTTGATGATCTAATCCAATTGGTGTGCCATTGGACATGCTAAGCTGTCCGTTTGGAGCTTGTTGCATGGTTGTAGTAGGTGGAGCTACTGATGGACATGAGCCCATTGGAACTGATTGAGCTACTGATTGTACTCCGGCAGGCTGCATTGGCTGCATGCGCATTGCTGACATTGGAGGCATTCCTGTAACAATTAATTTCTTATTATAACAAAAAAAAATTTCATTCATAAAATGTTTGTGAGCTTTGCATATGTGGAAACACACAAGCTGACAGAATTAAAACCTACCGTAGTTCATTGATTGATTCATTGCCAAAACTCTGCCATTCTGTTGTTGTGGTGGAGGAGTTTGTTGCTGAGGAGGTTGCTGAGCTCCTTGAGGTAATTGGAACAGAACCTGCATCGTATATATATTATAAGAATCTGATGTTATGAACTGATTACCTGAACAGGATGACCATTGAATCCCATTTCTACACGACGCTTCATATCAACATGGAATTGATTAGAAGCAGCACTCTGCTCATAAGCACGCTTTTGCGCCTTCAAAGACACATTCGGTTAAGAAACGAATAACAATATGAGAGTGTATTACCTGTCGCTGTTGATATTCAGCCATAGCTTGTGGCGATTGAGCCGGAAGTTCTATGGATGTAGCATTGTTGCAACGTTTTTTGGCACACATAGCTCCAGTCATATAGCGATTATCGAAAAATCTAGAAAAATGGCAAAATTGAATTGGTTGTATAATGAAATAGAAAACCTTCTGTCTAAGCAGACTAAGCATATTTGGCAATCTGCCATACGACAGTCTTCACATTGATTACATCCAACACGCGCCTTGAAGGTTGGAGCATCTCTCTGAAGAAGATGATATGTTAGCTTGACTATACATATAAGATAGATGATGATGATGATGATGATGATATGGGCATAGAGGATGATTCTTGTAAATGAAGTGAAAGTAGTGTTCCAAATAAAAAGAATAAAAAAAAGGAGGGCAAATGATAATAAAATTGGCTGATTTATTATGTCTTTTAATGAAATGCTATGTGATTAATTAGATGAAGGAAATTATCGTTGACTACCGTAGATATCATTTGAAAGAGAGAGAGAGAGAGAGAGAGAGAGAGAGAGAGAGACAGAGAGAGAGAGATATAAAGAGAATGCTCACCTGTAGCCTATTTTCTAAAACTCTTAAGCATCTTCTTTCTATACAACTTTGCTTTTTGACTCCTGGACCTCCGAATTGTGGAGAATCTTGACAATAGGTACATTGGCCACATGGCTTACACTGACATCCACGACATACACCACATCTAATATATAGTTAATGAATATAATAATTAATTATAATATATACCGTTGGGATCTGTTCATGGATGAAGTTATAGGTGTTTGAGGAATATGCTGAGATGGCTGAGGAAACGGCTGATGATGATGATGATGATGATGAATACCATTTGGACCTTCCATAACCATCATCGGACCCATTTGCATTAGAGTGTTCATAACACTCTGAAAATAATAAAAAATATTAATAATACAATTTTATAAAAGGATAGAATGATTTGTATGAAGACGAAGTAAGAGCGAATACGAGATAGCAACAAATGGTACGAAGAACTATTCACATTTGGAGTAAGAAGCAGTTGATGGGCAATATGCTTAACAGATCAGTACAAAAGAACTTTTTGTTTGTAAAAATGAAAAAAGAATTGTTTGAAAAAGTTTTTTTTGCTCAAAATCGAAAAAAAACTTAAAAAAACATATAAAGAGAGAGAGAGATAGAAAGATATACAGAGAACCTAACAGAGAGATTAAGACGAAGAGAGAGAAGAGGGAGATAGAGAGAGAGAGAGAGTAAAAAAATAAAATTCAACCGTTCCGTGCTGACAGAAATGAAAAAATGGTTGTGTAAGTGCGTGTAACTGTCTATGTGTGTGTGTTCACGTGTAGTTCACGTAGATCACAAAGACTGCAAGTGAATATGCTAATGTGAATGATGGATGATTTCATATGAAAATGAATAATATAAAATAAAATATAGTTTAACTATAAGTTGAATAGAATGAAGGAAAATCAAATTGTTAGTGATAAGGTAATGGAGTTTACATATCTCATCAACGTTTCCAATGAGTTTGGATGATAAATGAGTTATGATGAAGAAATTAACGACAAAATTGAAATGTTAACGGCTTCAACATAAATTACTTTGAATTCCCTCTCTTTCTCTCTATCTCTCTCTCTCTTTATCTATATCTCTCTATACTATCTCTCTCTCTCTTTCTTTCATTTTCTATTCTCTTCTTCTAAATGTAAAAAATGAATAGTAAAGATGTCAGAAATGGGATTCTTACAGCTTACATGTACATGAGTGTATATACAACTTGCTCATTTCAATTTGTCTATTTTATTTTATTTGCATCTATTCAAAAGATGAGTTTGAAGAGAAAAAAAAATTAATTGGCAGCAGGTTAAATGAAGCACACAATTGAGAAGAAGCTTGACGCAAGTAGAAGAAAAAAAGTGTTTGTGAAGAGGTTTCCTGCTTCTTCTTCTCTCACCCCCCACCTTCTTCCCCCCGGAAGCGAAAGACATACAAAAGAGAGAATATTGACACTTTTATCGAAAACTGTAAGGGAAATAGAGAGAGAGAGGGAGAGTAGTGGGGGGGGGGAAGAGTATGTGAGAGAGATGAAGTAAGGTAAGATGTAAGATGGATAGAGAACGAGAGACGATGAAGAGAAAGTAATTCAAATATTTCATTTATTTAAAAGAAAACCTTTAGTTATTGATTGATTGTCCTAATTTGGTTTTACTTCTCAAAAATCCAAATTAAAAAGTTTTTGGAATTGGACATTGAATAGGCATGATGATGGATGAGAAACTATTAAAGCTAATGCTTATGGCATAGTTAAATAATATTTAATTATAACTTATATATCTGAATCATTAGCATTCGTTAGATGAAGATGATGAACAGAGAGAGAGAGAGGGAGGGGTACAGAGAGAGAGAAAGAGTGAAATAAAAAAATGATTTTAAATTGTCCCAGAAACTATGTTGAGAAGGGGGGGGTGGATATGTGGAAGAGATGACGACAATGTGAGAGAGAATGTAGAAAGGGACAGGAAGTGAGAGAATGTTAATGACATGATCCGAGAGGCTTTCACATCTTCACCATATACGTATATTCTCATTTTATTTTTTTTGTCTCATTCTCTTTCTCTCTCTGTAGATCTCTTTATCTATAAGACTATCAATGTCCATCTTCACTTTTAAAGTCTCAGGAGCCTCTACTCTTATATCTTATTTCATTTTCTTTATCTCTCTCTCTCTGTGTCTCTCTCTCTCTATTTGAAATAGTTATGGAGACAGTAAGTGACGGATCATTGTTAGTTTGTTAGAATTTACAAAGAGATTCAGAGAAAAAGATAAGCTGCAAAGAATAGTTAAGAAAGAAAGAGAGTAGAAAAGATGAACACAAGGACATTCAATTCATCTCACACGGCCTCCCACAAAATGATGTACTGTGTGTTTGAACCGATTGATGAGTGTTGAAAATAAGTTTTTGTTCTCTCTTCCACCACCACCACCATCATCAACCCCATACCATCCTCTCTTCTTTCAATCAAATTTTTATACAAAAAAATATATATGGAGGAAAAGAATGTAAAAAAGAATATTTCGAAGGGCAGGAGATGAAGCACATACGGCAGCTCTCTCAGTGATGGCTGAACTGTCAAGGGGGGGGGGAGTGGTAGGTTGGATGAGAAGACAAAACGAAAGTTCAATTCAGTTAGAAAAAGGCGAGAGAAAGAGAGAGAGAGAGAGAGTGGGAGATAGTGGTCAAAGAAGGTGTACAGAAGATAGATGGATGGAAGCAATATGAAGTGAATAAGAAACTGTTAAGGAAGCTTCTTTTCACACAAATTATTTGAAACAGCTTTTGAAGAAGAGTTTCTCTTATTCTCTGTTCAATCACCCATCTCGTTTTCACGTTTTTTTATGTTTAAAACGCCTCTTGAATTACAGTTTGAGATATAAAACGTTTTTGTTTTGTTTAAATAGCTTTTCTCTCTTCAATCAAAATATGACATTTCTCATATGATTATAAAGAGAATTTTGAGAGAGAGAGAGGGACAGAGAGAGAGAGACAGAGAGTACAGAGAGAGAGAGAGAGAATGTAGACAAGATGGCTAAATGAAAAGAGAAAAGCTTTCGTTCATAAGGTCAATGATACATATATACTCCTATCATTCTCTCTCTCTCTCTCTATACTACTACTACTACCACCCCTATACACACGTGTCAGTTCACAGACAATTTTGGTCAAAAACTTCTATGGTGGGCTGAACTTTTGGAGTTTTGGTCCTTCCAATTGAATTGCCGTTTGATTTACTTATATTCTCATTGGAGAAACTTCCAGAACTTGCTCTCTCTCTCTCTCTTTCATTGTATATTCTAGTCAAGTTATCATTGAAAGTGTTACTCCCTCCCTCTCAATCTCTCTCTTCAACTCTCCTTCTCTTGTATTTGAATGTGAATGAAGAGGGAATGAATGAGGAAGAGAGTGAGAGAAATTAAAAGATATACATATAGTTATAAAATGTAGTTTTTATTCTCTTTCATTTTGTAAACTATATGTATAGTGGAATATAATTAAATAGTTTCAAAGTCAATCTCATTTTATTTCAATTTATTCCACATGTAATGTAAATCATGTCACTCTCTTCTTCTCTCTCACTCTCTATCCCTCCTCTCTCACTCTCTCTCTCTCTTATAATAATTATAGCCACATAGATCTCCTTTTAAAGTTTTAATTTATAAAAACGGAAATCACCATCTACAATCAACCGTTCTCATCATCAACTTCATTTCAAAATGACTTTTCCCTTTTCACGTATGACTTCACGTACTACATCTACTACCACACCATTGCGCGCATATAACGCAAAGATGAAAGTGGCGCGGTAAAATCGCGCCACTCTGGTGGTGATATGCAAATGAAGAGAGAAGAAGAAAAGGGAGTGCCGTCTCACGTTGTCGTCGTCAAGATGGAGATTCAGAAGACATCGCAGAGAGACTATGAGGGGAAGTAATTGAAAAATTGAAAAATGCATAAAAGGTTATTGCAAAGAAATATGAAAAAAAAAGTTTTTTATAATAAAAAAAAAGAAAAGAAGGGAATTGACTTGACTATTGAAAGAGATGAAGATAGTTGAACCTCCTTGAAGATGGGGTCTATAATTAGAGACAAGGTCATCGTTTGCCTTTCTTTTTTTTTTTTTACTCAATATTCACCTCTCTTCTAACATGAAGAGATAAATTACCTCCATATTAAGTATATATAAATAGTAAAAGATGATGATGGACAGTCAAGTAACCTTATAAGGACAACTAATAAAGATTTGGCGGTGTGTTTAATCACATTCTCTCGTGCTCTCTTACTCTCTCTCTCTCTCTTTCTTTTCCATATATCATATGAATGGATTCTATATGTCTAGTCTTATCTCTCTCTCTCTAGACACTCTCTCATGTGATAGATGCTTACTGATTATCTCTCATCACATATATCTCTATATAGAGATTAAGAATAAAAAAAAATTTTTTCTTTACTCCATCTCTTGTTGTCTCCTCTATTAACCTCTTCATCTTTATTTTTCTTCTCAATATGTTTAAGTCTAAAACTAGCATATAAAGTATTCAGAAGATGTAGAACTTCGATGAAAATCCATTCAAGACATTCTATAGATGGTTGATAATAGTCTCTCTCTCTCTCTCTATCTATCTCTCCCTCTCTCTCTCTCTATATGTGTTTCTTTCGTTTTTTCCTTCTTCTCTGTTTGGATCGAAATAATAGTCAAATTGATTGAAGACGACAAAATTCTTTTTTCCATATATGAACGAAATAATTTCAAAGACGAAAAAGACAATTTGAAAATGGACTGAAGAAGAGTGTCAAGTTGAAACTTTTTGTTCCATTCGGTTTGTCATTAACATCAGCTTATTGAAAAGGTATTCAATGGAGGGAAGTTCTGCCAATTATGCAGACTGGATGGTGGGAAAGATGATTGCAAGACGTTGCATTCGGTCAGTAGAATCGCAAAATGGTCAGGCACACATTCAGAAGATGGTTAAAGAAGCGAAGAGTAAGGGATTCTGATGAAAATGGTTCAATCCTCTATTGCACACAAGATGAGTGTGAGACTTTCAATTCTCAAAACTGCTGTGTCTTCAGAAAGAATGAAAAAATGAAATGTTCAATGTGTGTGTGTGTGGACGGAAGAAGAGGAAGAAAGTAGGAATAAGTTATCAACGAACTAAGGAGGTGGAGGGAGGGGAGAGGAGGAGGAGGAGGAAGAGAAGAGTAGGAGGGAAGCTCTGCCTCTGCGAATGGCGAAAAGATGATTAAATGAGATTGAACAGTTACATAAAAGAAGCTCAACGAGATTGGAGGGAAGTAGGAGGAGCAGCTCAATTGAAACTGTGGGAGGTCACACGGACTAAA